TCTCTGCCTCCTCCCCGGGGCCAGACCTGCAGCCCTGACGGCAAAACGTAGAGCTACTGCCTCAGCTTCAGAATCCCAGAGAGCTGTGTCCTTCCTCTACAGCAGAGTGTGCACGTGTCCTGCACAACACACATGCATGCATATGCTCACACACATGCATGTACGCCCTCCACAGTCAGTGTGCAGACACACAGGCCCACATGAACAGCAGTTCCACACAGCCCAGGGACACCAGACAGCAGGTGGGCGGGTGGGTGTGAAAACAGCTCTGCTCTGAACACTGGTTCCTTCCTCCAGGGAACAGAGTGAGGCCATCCTAAGCAACAGGCTGAAAGGTCAGGCCAGGCCATGGACAGAGAAGGAGAAACCTGGAGTCTATTACTACCTTTCCTCCGACCCGGTCGAGACTGATCAGATCTGCAAACTTATAGAATGATCCAGCAGCCTAAGGAGGGATCATGACTTATTAGAGAACCTTGGCTAGTGGGCTAGTGTGATAGCCCATACTTGGGTTGCATTATGCAACTGGAGTTGTGTGTGTGTGTGTGTGTGTGTGTGTGTGTGTCTGTCTGTCTGTCTGTCTGTCTGTACCAGGGATATGCAGGAAAGCTGGTGATCGAGGCTTTGATGCTGTGTTTTAACTGCCAAACCCAGGATCCCCATGGATTCAGGTGGTTTTAAATTGATCTTAGATCATTTGACTCAGAAGAAATATAGGCACTTAATTTCTCCCCCAGTTGAAGTGTTGCACATGTTCATGGTAGAAGGGAAATGTAGAAAATGGATAAAACATAATTTAAAACAGAAAATGAAAAGCACCTGGGCTCACCAGCCTGGAGATAATCGCTGTTGACATTTCAACAGAGTGGAGATTAGGAGCGCACTGTGTGCTTGCCTTCCTGATCCCCAAATCGTGGGCGGTGAGCACTTTCTCAGGTGTTCCTCTTCTCAGGAACGGCTTGTTCGATGGCTTGTCCCACTGCCCCTTCCTGGCTTTTCTGTGTGGTGCTGTTCCCCCAACTGAGCGTGGACGCGGCTTCCCGTTTGTCCTTATCATGGAGCTCTAGGATTGCTCATCTGTGTGTGCTCTGAGAAGCACTTCAACAGGCAGAGCATGTGTCATCCAGCCCAGCTGGAAGTTAGGATCCAGACGCTCCTCTAAGGGTCCTATGACCACAAGCAGGAAAGTGGGCTGGGACAAGGACGGAACATATGCCCCTACTCTGGGATTTCGAGTTTGGGGGCTGATTCCTGGTCGCAAGCAGGGAGGTGGCTCTTTCCTCCTCCTGGGGAATTGAGCAGTTGGCTTTCAAGGCCTCCTGGAGAGTGGGGGCGTCCAGGGGAATCAGATACACCCATCTGCTCTGAGGACCCTGGAGATGGCTTCCTTGCACCCCCACCCCTGCTGGAAGGTCTCTGCTGACCTCTGCCCACAAGCTCTGCCTGCAACAGGAACCCTGGAAAGCTGGGGGGGTGAGGGGAGAGAAGAATCTCACTTGTCTGGGATGCTGGAGGCTTTGGATCAGGGATTGTTAGGGCCATTGTAGGACCCCTGGGCCTCTTGATCCAATTCCTCTTGCTACAGTTTGCCTTGCACACGGCCAACCCGGGTTTGATTCCTCTGTCCCTCTCGGAGAGCCTGGCAAGCTACCGAGAGTATCCCGCCCGCATGGCAGAGCCTGGCGAACTCCGCATGGCATATTCGATATGCCAAAAACAGTAACAACAAGTCTCACAATGGAGACATTACTGGTGCCTCCTCGAGCAAATTGATGAACAACGGGAGGACAGTGCTACAGTGCTACAGATGGGAAAGCTGAGACTCCAGGTAAACGGAAAGTCAACAGAGAGACTGCAAAGGTAGTATGGGGTTAGGACACTTGAATGTGGCCGACCTTGGTCAGTCCCGCAAACACCACCAGGAGCAATCCTGAGCACAGAGCTAGTAGTAGCCCCTGGGCATTCGAGTCATACTCAAGCAGGTGTGACCCAAAAACCCAAGGTGGGGGAAATGTGAGCGGCAGGTTGGGAATGTGCCTCAGTGGTAGGGCATTTGCCTTGAATGCAGCCAACCAGGTTCAATCCCCGGCATCCCATATGGTCCCCCAAGCCTGCCAAGAGTGATTCTTGAGTGTAGAGCCAGGAGTAACTCCTGAGCATCACCAGGTGTGACCCAGAAACAAAAAAAATAGAACAATGAAGTGTAATGGAAGGTGGCTCAGACATGAAAGCCCCGTGTAGCTCGCCCCTTGTGATGGTACAGTCACTCACCCTTCTGCCCTTCACACTGGCTGCAGTGCCCACTGGGATCACACACTTAGCTGCTCACACTCTGTGCAGTTCCCAGACCCTTGGTTGCACTGTGGTAAAGACCATACTCTCTCCATGGGGGGAGATGCAAGTCCCCCCCAAAAAAACTGCATTGTTTTTTGTGGATTGTGCATGGGCATGGAGGGGGGGGCGGTACGGGGAATGCCAGGGATCGACCTCACATTAACCAAGCTCTTCTCAGAACCTTGGCTCTGGATTTTTTTTTTTTTTTTTGCTTTTGGGCTGGAGTGATAGCACAGTGGTAGGGCATTTGCCTTGCCTTGCATGCGGCCAGCCTGGCCGACCCAAGTTCAATTCCTCCACCCCTCTCAGAGAGCCCGCAAGCTACCGAGAGTATCTCGCCCGCATGGCAAAGCCTGGCAAGCTACCCATGACATATTCAATATGCCAAGCACAGTAACAAGTCTCACAATGGAGACATTACTGGGCCCACTTGAGCAAATCAATGAACAACGGGAGGACAGTGCACAGTGCTTTTGGGGTCACACCTGGCAATGCACAGGGGTTAATCCTGGCTTTGCACTCAGGAATTAGTCCTGGCAGTGCTCAGGGAACCATAGAGGATGCTGGGAATCGAACCTGGGTCGGCCACATGCAAGGCAAACACCCTACCTGCTGTGCTATCACTGTGGACTCTTGATGGGGAGCGGGACTGTGGAGGGATGAGATAAACCAGGCCCATAGCTGACATCTCTCCCCACTCCTTCCCCTTACCTCTGGGAGGAGCCAGTGTGGCCCTTTTAGGTTTGCTCACGGCAGTCCTCATCCCCAGCCTGCATGGAGGTATCTCAGCCAAATGGGTATCTCAGCCATTCCTTTGGGTGCTCTCAGCACCCTGGGGGTGGGCGGGCGGGGGTTATCCTCTGCAGGATTCAGCAAAGCCAGCAGGGCAGGGAAACAAGCCAGCAGCATGCAGGCCAGGACTGACTCCCATCCTGGGGCCCAGGTGATGCCCCAATAGCTTCCAGCTCGGTGATGAGCCTGGGGCAGGCAGGGGTGAGGGGTGAAAAGCGCCTCATCTGCCTGCCCCTCCTCTCGTGCCCCACTTCTACCTGCCAGGCCCCACAGTCCCCAACCTCCAGTCTGCCAGCCCTGAGTCCATGATGCTCCCAGGAGCCCAGGAGCTGTAGGGGGACTCTGTGGGTTGCAAGAGGTAAAGTCAGCCTCACCCCTCCTTGCTTGCTGCTGGGGTTGCACCATTTGGCCTGAGCACACATGGGGACTCCCCAAATCAGGGGAAATTAGCCTGAAGTATAGGAAATGCAGGCGGCTGTGTGCATATGATGGGTACAGGGGTCCCATCCCACCCTAGATCAACTCCTCCCTCAACCTAGTCACCCTCTTGACCATAGGCCCTCTCTCTGTCTCCAAAAAACTTTTCCAATGTGCTCCAGCCCCTGCCACTGAGTCCCAGGAATGCTCCATGTACACGACATCATGGCAAAGCCTCTGCTGGGGGCTGGAGCCATAGTACAGTGGGTTTGCCTTGCACGCGGCTGACCCAAGTTCAATCCCTGGCATCCCATATGGTCCCCAAAGCACCGCCAGGAATAAGTAACTCCTGAGTGCAAAGCCAGGAGAAAACCCTGAGCATCTCTGGGTGTGACCCAAAAAGGAAAAAGCCTCTGCTGGAGTCACAGACACCCCACCTTCTCCCTGTCTCTCCCTAACTAAGGCTTTAGAACTAGCTCTAAGCCTGTCAGCCCCTCTGAGACCCCAGAAGCTGGCTTAGACCTCAGAGAGGCTGGGGCCGGGGCGATAGTATAGCCGGTAGTGCACTTGCCTTGCACGTGGCCACCCCAGGTTCTATCCCTGACATTCCCTTTGCCCCGCCAGGCGTGATCTTTGAGCACAGATCCAGGAATTATCCCTAAGCACCACTAGGAGTAAGACCCTCTTAAAAAAGACCTCAGAGGGACTCTAGTTCTGTCCCCTCCCCGTATCCCTATCCCTGTGGGCCCTAGAGCCGTCACACCTCCTCCAGTCTCGGTCTCCTCTCTGTCCTCCTATCCTCCCGCCTCCGCATGAGTGTGCTCCCCCTCATCCCCAGAACACAGCCCCCAAGCCTTACACCCCAAATTCTTTTTTTTTAGCTGATGTATTTTTTTAAATTTTTATTAGTGAGACACCATGAGGTACAGTTGTAGACTTACAGATTTTTGTGCTTGGGTTTCAATTATACAATGATCAAATACCCATCCCTCCACCGGTGCCCATTTCCCACCACCACGGATCCCAGTATCCCTCCCACCCCCCACCCACTCCCATTCCACCCTGCCTCTGTAACAGGGCATTCCCTTTTGTTCTCTCTCTCCTCTTGGGTGTTGTGGTTTGCAAAAGAGACATTGATACACCCCAAATTCTTACACCCCCTGCTCTGTTCTCCCCTGGGGCAGGCATCTTCACACCGTGAGTTCTCAGAAGACAAAGCAGCTCCTCCTCCTCCTCCTGCGGCTGGCCCCTGCCTGCCTGGTGTGTGGACAGGCCACGTGAATGACTGGCACTCTGAGGTCACCATCACCACCACCTGCAGCTGCACCAAGGACATCAAGGACGCACAGAGAGCACTGGGCAGCTCGAGGCTGGCCCAGGGGCATCAGCAGTTTGAGCCCCACCAGCCCGCAGAGCCCGCTCTTGTCACCGCTTCCAACCCTGCTTCCAGCTGGTCTGCGTGTCTGTCCACGCGGGCTCTCTGAAGACCACTCAGCCGTTCCCTGCGTCCCTCCCCCGAGCAGCTCCTGGAACCATGGAGAGTCTGAGTGAACTGGAGAACCCACTGCTGCCTCAGGGCACCTACCCCTACCCTGAGGCTTCGCCAGGCTGGCCGTGCCAGGAGAAGCTCTATTCCTACCTCCTGGGGGGCGCCGGTCCTGCGCGCGCCCACCAGTTCCTGGACCCAGGGTCCCTGCAGCTGGCCGTGGAGGCCTGGTACAGACCCAGCTGCCTCCTGGGGAAGGACAAGGCCAAGGAGCCCAGGGCTGGCAGCTGCGAAACCAGTTTCACAGAGAGCACAGAGCCCCAGGCCGGGCCCTTGGAGCGGGCGGCAGGAGCTGACCAAGAGGAAGAAGAGGAGGTCGCCATCCAGACAGTGTCCTACGGGGTTCAAGAGGAACTGCAGGGTCAGGAAGATGAGCAGGGAGAGGAGGAGGTGAGTGCATGCTACCATGTTAATCCCCAGCGCCACATGGTGCCTGCCACCACCATCCCACCCCCAGCACCGCCAGGACTCAGTCCTGAGCACTGTCACTGATAGGTGTGGCCACCAAACCCAAAAACACAGAGTAAAAATGGGCTGGGGAGATAATAAAGCAGATAGGGTGCTTGCAAGGCAAGCACTTGGGTTCGATGCCCAGCATCCTATATGGTCTCCCAATATACCGCCAAGAGCGATTCCTGAGTGCAGAGTCAAGAGGAAGCCCTGAGCACTGCCAGGTGTGCACCCACCCAAAAAAATGGAAATAAAATGCATATTCCTGAACCCATACTCTAAATGTTGAGCTCTAGCAGGTCTAGATTAGGGCCCCGAAATCTGATGTTACTGAAAATCCTGCATTTCTGACACAGATATTATATACACTTGAAAAAACACAGAGAGAGGCCGGATAGTACAGCAGGTAGGGTGTTTGCCTTGCACATTGCTGACCCAGGTTCGATCCCTGGCATCCCCTATATTCCCCCCAAGCACCACCAGGAGTGATTCCTGAGTGCAGAGCCAGTAGTAACCCCTGAGCAATACTGGGTGTGACCCAAAAAGAGAGAAGAAGAAAAGAAGAAGAAGGAGAAGGAGAAGAAACACAGATAGTCTATATTTTTAAAAACTAGTGTAAATTGACTAGTTTTTTTTAAAAGCATGGATCTTTCCTGACTTATTTTTATATGTGTGAAGTAAAATAGTTTTACTTAGGGAATATGAGCAGAGAGAGAAAACCATAAAACAAAGAGAAATTTGGTAAGCCAGCCTGGGGGTACAGGGATTCCAAAATGGAGTGTGCCCCTATTCTTGTTTTCCTTTTTCCCCAGCTTTATTGAGTAATTTTCCGTTGATACATAAAATTGGTTAAACTTAAGGTGATTAAGGTGATGTGGTTATGTACATATTGTAATTACCACAATATGTTATGAAGATATCCTTCTCTACAAAAATTAAATATCAGGGCCAGATAGGTAGTAAAGCAGGTAGGATACTTGACTTGCCTGCAGCCAAGCTGAGTTTGATCCTCAGTACCCCATCTGGTCCCCCGAGCACTTCCAGGAGTGATCCCTGAGCATAGAGCTAGGAGTAAGCCCTGAGTACTGCTGGGTGTGGATCTCCCCCGACAAAAAAGACTTTGAGTCGATGCATAGATGCATATAGACAATTATATAGACTATATATATATATATATACACACACATATATATCTCCTTCCACATATGTACACACATACACTGTGGAATATTATTCAGCCATACAAATTAATGACCTCTTGCTATTTACAAGATTAAGCTTGATGCATCATGCTAAGAGAAATAAGTCAGAGATATAAAGACAAAAGTTATGTAGTGAAATAAGGAGGATCTCACTTGTGTGTAGACTCTAAAATGGCCAAGTTCAGAGAGACCAAATGGATCTATAATCACCATTATTCGTTGCCATTGTTGCAGTGAAAACATTTAAGATCTACTCTCCTAGAACGTTCACGTGATAATATGGTACTGCTTACTACAAACCCCACGGGAGAGAGAGTACAGCAGGCAACACACTTGCCTTGCATGCCTTGCATGCAGCCAGCCATATTCAATCTCTGGCACCACACATGGTTCCCTGAACACCACCAAGAGTGATCCCTGAGCACAGAGCCAGGTATGGCCCAAGCCACCCCATTCTAAATGAGCACCACAACTACCCGTTATATCCCAAACTGGAAGTTTGTCCTCTTAATCACTACCTCCCCTCAATCCTTGCAATAACCAATCTGTTACTGAGCTCAGCTTTATCAAATGTTATCTATAGATGTAGCTCACGGTGATTCAATTTAAAAAGAAATATTATTAATAGATAAGGGCTAGAGCGATAGCACAGCGGGTAGGGTGTTTGCCTTTAATGTGGCCGACCAGCTGACCCGAGTTCGATTCCTCCGCCTTCGATTCCTCCGCCCCTCTCGGAGAGCCCCACAAGCTACCAAGTGCATCTTGCCCGCACGGCAAAGCCTGGCAAGATACTCATAACATACTCGATATGCCAAACACAGTAACAAGTCTCACAATGTTACTGGGCCCGCTCGAGCAACTCGATGACAGTGACAGTGACAAAAATAGATATATTGTCTATATCTATTCAAGCCCTCCATTGTGGGATCGTGGGCCGGCCCACAGAACCCCACTCCTTTTTTGCAGAGTGATGTGACCTCCACCGAGAGCGAGAGTGAAGACAACTTTCTGACACTGCCCCCCAGGGACCACCTGGGCCTCACCATCTTCTCCATGCTCTGCTGCTTCTGGCCACTGGGGATTGCTGCCTTCTACTTCTCCCAGGGGGTAAGAGCTCCTGGGGGCTGCACACTGGCTATATCCCCCCCACACACACACACACAAACACATACACACACTGAAGGGCAGCACAGCTCTGGGGTCCCTGGCTGGGCATAAGGTGCTCACTGCCATCACAATGTCTCTCTCCCCAGACCAGCAAGGCCATCTCCAAGGGGGACTTCCGGCTGGCCAGCACCACCTCCCGCCGGGCGCTCTTCCTGGCCATGCTCTCCATCGCGGTGGGAGCCGGACTCTACGTGGCTGTGGTGGTGGCCCTGGCAGCTTACATGTCGCAGAACGGTCATGGCTAGTGGGCCCAGGAGCTGGCATCCGATTCCCCTGCTCCCCGGGCCTTGGGCTTGCAGATGCTCCAGGAGCCCCTGAAGACCACCCCTGAGGGTGCCTTGTTGGGGGGGCCTGCAGGCTTCCCATCACCTCATCTTACCCATGTCCCCCAGTTCTGGGGCCAGGCAAGGGGTCACCGCTTCCCCACTGGACTATGCTGGGAAGCAGGACACCCAGCAGGGCACCCCCGCATGCCCCCTCTGGCTGGAGGCCAGCTGGGAGCTCAGCCATTCACTAGAGGGGCTTCTGTCTGCCGGGAGCCTACCACCCAACTCTGCCCAACCCCTCTACACAGCAAAGGAGCAGCTCAGAGATGGGGGTAGGGTGCTGCGGTCAGGGCACCTGACCCAGGGCTTCTGGTCCAGAGGTGTCTCCACCCTGGGTACAGTTGAGTTTGCCCAGATCCTCTCTCTGGCCCCCTGATGCCCAGACCCCAGCCAGGTAGAAGGGCTCCCTGGTTCCTTCTGCAAGAGGCTGGCCTCTCCTGTGGGCACAGAGAAGCTTCTAGAGATACAAGAGGCATCTCGGGCTAGAGACTGCAGGAGTGCGAGGCAGATGCAAAGACAGAGGCTGTGGGACTGCTAGACTCTGGGACTCCCGTGCCCTGTCCCCTGCCCACGGCAACCTTTGCTGCACTCACCTCACGGCCCTGAGCTGTCACCTCCCAGGTAGAGGGTGTCACCAGCCCAGCCACGGAGGAGGGGCCTGACACCTGGCACTGGGGAGCTGCGGTGAGTTCCAGATGAGGACAGGGACACTGGACTGAGCTTGACCGAGCCACTGCGCAAGCAGCTGTGCTAAGGACACGTCCTCGAGGAGGCCTCCCTGGGGGACAGCGCTGACCTAAGGGGGTAGGTTTCCTAGAAGCCTTTGTGTCCTGAGCGAAACGACAGCCATCCTCGGGGCCTGGTGGCAGGCCAGGTGTCCTACTGGAACCAACCTGAGTTTGATCCAGTCCTCGCTGGGTGCGTCAGAGACTCCGACTGGATAACTTCGAAGACCAGTGATGCCCTCCCACCTCTGAAAGCTGCGTGGTTAGTGCTGGGGGGGTGGGGGGGAGTTCCGGAGCTCCAGAACTCTATCACTGACATCCCACTCAGAGCTGCTGTCAAACCCCCAGTCACAGGAACACTCAGAATTTCAGAGGCGTCACTGTGGGCGACAGGACAGGCCCGTGGGGCCCCAGCTGGGGAACCCTGTTCTCTGCTCCTTGTCCTCCTGCTTTGGTCCTGGTGGTGGACCCAAACACCAAGAAGGATTCACCCAGCACCCCAGACCCCCTTCACCCCTACCTCCTCTGAAGCTCCCCAGGCCCAGGGCAGTATTTTAACATCCTAATAGTGTATATATTCCCTTTAATAAACCTTTCTGTAACATCTGGTGCCCTCTGGCTCTTCCTTCCTTCCTTCCTTTCATTCTTCCTTCCTCCTTTCTATCCTTTCATCCTTCTTTTATCCTTCCTTCCTTCCTTCTATCCTTTCATCCTTCTTTCATCCTTCCATCCTTCCTTCCTTCCTTCATTCCTTCCTTCCCTTTTTCTTGTTGGAGGACTCTCCAAGCAGTGCTCCGGAGACCAGGGGCTCTTCCTGGTGCTCATGGCCAGCCAGGCCAGCAGTGCAGAACAATGGCCTGAGGAAATGGTGCTGCTCGGGCCCTGCTGTGCCTGCAAACACCAGAGCCAGCCCCCAGCAGTGCTCAGGGGAGCTGCACCTGGAATTCTTGGGGACATGGGGCATGCAGTGCTGGGGTCACACCCTATAACCCCTGACTGTCTCCCTGGCTCCTCTGGGCCTCTTTCTGTCCTCCCCACTTCCTCCTTTTCTTCTCCGAGACCCACCACCCTCCCCATGTCATGGTCCGGCAGCCTTCTTAGGGGACAAAGAGACAAAGAGCAGAGTGATAGGAGAGTGAGTAGGGCACTTCCCTGCTCATGGCCAATCCAGATTCTATCCCTGACACCCTGCAGTATGCCCTGAGTGAGTACTGCTAGGAGTGATCTCAGGAGTAACCCCTGAGCATCACTGGATATGGCCCCAAACCCACCCCCTAAAACAAACAGAGCTACCTCTGATCTGGGTCTGTGTGGGCAGGGGGCTAGAGGCCCCAGGGGCCCTGGGTGATGGGGTGTCTGTGTGGGGGGCACACAGGGACACCTGCAGAAAAAGCCCTTCTGAGCCTTAGAGCCTTAGAGCCTGGGAGTCATGAGTCCTGTGACCCACAGAGCTGCCAGGAGTTCTGAGGATTAAAAAACGCAGGGTCAGAGTCCCGAGGGAGCCCCACTTCCCTGAGGCTGCTCTCGGCTCCCTCCTGGCTCCCAGACGTCTGCCTGCAGGGTCTGAATCCTAAGCCACAGTCCCTCTCTGTCCATCTGGTCTCTGTGCTGCACGACCAGGAGGTGGCCTCAAACCAGGCGTCTGTCCGCAAGGCACCCCTGAGCCAGGCCGGGAGATGCTCCAAGGGCTGGAGCGTCCCGCAGGCAACTGGCCTGTGGGAGCCTCGGGTTCCCATCCCTGGCACCAACATATGCCCCCAAAACACATTTGTGTACCGCCCCCCCCAAGAAAAGACAGCTCTGCATATACAAGCACGTGCGGGGGGAGAAAGGGGACCAGCCCCGAGACAGAGATGTCCATGGACATCAGGAGGGGTTGCTCCGGGTGAACTGAGGAAGAGGAGGTGGGCAGGCTGCCACGCCGGGCTGAGAGACAACGGCCACTGAGCTCATTAACTAAGCAGGAACACGGGGCTGAGCTGCGTATCCCGGATCATCATGGAACGCGCCTTTCTGAAAGAGAGGTGATGGAGGGTTCGGGGGTCCCCGCTCGGGGGCTTTCTCCAATGGGGTAAGCCCAAGGGGACTTGAGGCTTGACCCCAGCCCTGCCTGTTCTGTGGCCCCATCCCACTGTCTCCCCGACTCCGGGCTGTGCTCACCCTCCTGTGCTCACCCTCCTGTCCAGTTCCCACCTTTATCTCTGACACCCCCACCCTCCTTCCTAGGACAGAAAAGGGGGCTTGGGAACTGCTGTGGCCGCAGGAGGATGAAGGCCTCATTCCCTGGGCATTCTGCAGCCGCCATGCCTGCCACACAGCAGCAGACCCATGGATGCCATCTTAACCCCTGGCATGTACCTGTACACCCAAGGCTGCCTCCTGGAAACTCCTGCCCACAGGTAGGACAAGTCATAGGCATCAGAGAGCTCCCAGCCCTGGTAGCAGACACCAGCCAGTCCCAAATAGGGGCAGCTGGACAAGCCCCAGATTTCCTGCCCGAGGGATATGAGAAGCTCCAGGATTCCCCAGAAGGGTTGAGCTTCATGTGCTAAGGCAGCCCTTTCTGTGAGGCATGTTCCCCCGGAGACCAACTGCCTTGCTCTTCATCTTCTTCCTCTGTTTCCTAAGAGCCAATAACTAAAGTCTGTCTGCACCTGGAGCCAGAGCAATAATACAGCAGGGAGGGTGCTTTGCCGTGCACACACCAACTCAGGTTTGATCCCCAGAGCCCCATATGGTCCCTTGAGCACTGCCAGGAGTGATCCCGAGTAAGCACACAGCCAGGAGTAAGCCCTGAGCACCACCAGGTATGGCCATGGCCTCAAAACAAAACACCTGAATTCCCATCTTGGACTCAACTTCTAGGGAAAACCAAACCAAGACACAAAAAAGAGTCGGGGCTGGAGCAATAGCACAGTGGGTGAGGTGTTTGCCTTGCACACAGCCAACCCGGGTTTGATTCCCAGCATCCCATATGGTCCCTCAAGCACTGCCAGGAGTAATTCCTGAGTGCAGAGCCAGGACTAACCCCTGTGCATCGCCGGGTGTAACCCAAAAAGAAAAGAAAAAAAAAAGACACAAAGAGTCATGATGTACATGTGTGTGTGGTCGGGACACTGTGCATACCTATGCATATGCACTTGTGCACAGACGTAGGCGTGCAGTCATGCACGCGGGCATACACATGACAGCCCACAAGTGCACAGATCCCATGTGGGTGTGGGCACACTCGTGTAGCACACACGTATGCCAGGTGAAGAAGGGACCACGGCAGTGAGGAATCCTTCCCCCCAACCTCCACCCCAGCCCTGCCTGCTCTGCGGTCCCCCCCTTACTATCTGCTGGACTCCAGGCTGGGCTCCCCTTCCTACCCTGACACCCTTACCCTCCCTCCCAAGGACAGAAAGGCTCTACAGACTCAACTCCAGGACCCAGAATCCTGCTCCCAATCCCCGTCTTACCCTACCTCCCAGCTGCAAATTCAGACTCTGCAGGAGGGAATGAAACGAGTAAGTAGCTAAACATTCCCCTCTCCTGCCCACAGCCCCCAGAAACAGACCCTCCTGGGGATCCTGCGCTCTGGCTCCTCATTTCTGCTCACTGGCAGCAACCCCTTCCTTCTGGCACGCCCGGGGCACTTTGCCTGCACCTCCCAGAGAAGTCTCCTGGGAGGCCTGGGGGTTGCAGTTCCTCGGGCTGCCAGAGAAAGGCTGGAGGTAGGAAGGGTCCCCTGGGTGAAGGTGCCCGTGACGAACTGCAATGCCAGCACATCTGTGCAAATATTACCAATTATTTCCCGCACTATAAACACCCAGCAGGAAGGCCAGGAAGCAACCAACCCAAACTGTTTAAAATAGAAACCACAATTGCTGCGCAGGGAAGTCGGGCCAGACGAGGGCCTTGCACCAGGACCCCGGGCTTCCCCCACCCGCACACCCAGCTGCCCTGAAATTCACCTGCTCTGAAACTCCGCACCTCAGTTCTCCTGCACTGGCCAGGCATTCATTCCCCCTAGGACAGGTCCTAGGCCCGGAGCGAGGGCAGTTCCATGAGGCCTCCAGAGCAGGGGACAGGACTGGCAAGGACAAAGGAGCTAGGAGCAGAGGCACTGGTCCCTGGTCAAGGGTGACTGCTGTCAGGCTCCAGCCAGAGCCAGCCGGGCACTGTGTGCAAAGGCACAGGGCACGAACCTTCACTGCACCCCATCGAGCTGCTCCCAAGGGCCAACAAACACCAGATTGTAAGTACGGTCACACCGCTCCCCAATGTGGAAGCGCCCCCAAACCAGTGGGCTCAGTGTCCTGCACCCTTCTGGGCCCCGCCAACATATTTGCTTCCTGCCTCCCTGCCACCTCTCCCAGCTGCCGTGGGGTTGACTAACACACCTCAGCA